CAGTGTTAAATAATACAGAGTTCCCTTCTCCCCTTTCATGCTGTAGAAAACCTAGATTTATCTACACAGATATACACTTCAGTAATTTTAAAGTCTTGTGTCATTTATTTAACATTAATTCTTCTTAACTGACATTGATATTAAAATTAAACATTCAAATTCACATTAATTTACTAGTTAAAAACATTTCCAAGACAAGCAGTCTATATTTAATACCATGCCTTCCTACAAACACTATGCCATATATACTACTTGTATCTAAAAAACATACTAAGATTTTACATTTCAAAGTGTCAGCCTGATTTGAAATTTTTGATTTTTGGAATAAATTCTGAACTTGGCAATCTACATTACAAGAGTCTTAGTATCCATTAAAAAAGGAAGATAAGTAGTATGCCATCATTCAAAGGTCAAAAAATTCTCATAGGAAAGTGATTTCTAGCCAGTCAATGCCAGTTGCTATGGCAACCACCACAATGGTTATGAAGGCTCTAACCTTATTCAGATGAATAAAATGGGAAAAAAAATCACAAGATACTATAACAAAACACCCTGTACTATAAGTCTTCCTGAAAAAAGAAGCTGAAGGACTACCTCCTCCACCCCATTTAACAATATCCAGGCTGGCAAAAACGCCTTCAGTCTACTATAAAAGCTTATGGCATTATGTTTTAGAAATGCTGCAACTCTGCTTTTCTTGTGACTGCAGTATTCTTCAGCTTACAGACAGGTAAAAGACTGAAAATGAGCTTTTAGTATCTAAGGATAATGGGTGTTACCTATCTGAAGTAGTAGCAGCAAAGAGAAGAGGACTATAAAATACAGTAGGGAAAAAGGTAGTGAAGAAAAAGATGGATTCTACCATAACAGTCTAAAAATAGATTCACTTCAAATGAAGCATGTACAGTTGAAAGTATCTACAGAACAAACAGCTCCACCTAGAGGTTAAAAAGCAAGGGATATTAAAGCAAGCTTACAGCTAAAAGGTTTTCAAGACTTAAAAATACCCTCTAAAATGGTCTGCAAAATCGCCAAATAAAATAAAAAATTGGCTTCAAAATGCATTGTAAAAAGTCACCTGATCTTTGAGAATAACTTTATAAAAAACAAACTGAAGACAAATCTTGAAATGAAAATATCTAAAATAAAAAACTGCTCATTCATACCTTAAGCTTCTCGCACGTCAGTGAAATTCACACTGAAATCCCAGGCCCAGGGAAGTCAGTAAATTTTGCCAGTTTTCAGCATGTAAAAAGTCAGCCTCCCAGCACCACTTCAATAAAGATTTATACCCGTGTTCAACACCAAGTGAACAGTCCAATAAGGAATGAAACTTCTTGCACATGCAACGCTTTTTCAGGCCCCAATCCTTCATACTTACCTACCATCTTCCACTTATTTCTGCAAGAGTTACAATGCCTCTGCTAAGTTGTTACATGCTCCAGAGCAAACTATTTTGCTTGTCAACTTTCACAGTAATTAATCTTTTCTAGGTCTGTAGGGAAACATTTCAGGACAAAATCCAGGCTTCAGCACACTGCTTAAGAAACTACACCAGGCTCCAGTAAAAGAGCCCAGTTCTTTTCCCTGGCAGCATGGGAAGGAACCAAACCCACAGCCTGCATTAGCAAACACTCTTCTGTGCTGCATCCACAGCAGGAGATACACAGTCTCTGGATGCCTTCCCACACCTAATCCTTCAAGTTCTAAGGCAGTGAAGTCATATCTGACTACCCATGTCTCTCCAAAGATCATCAGTTACCTGGCCAACTGATTTGCAAAATACATCTTCTCTAACATGCTCTCGCTTCACTAGAGAGCTTTAAATAAGGGTGGATAGTCATACCTCCAACTCTCCTGCTTTAAATCTTTTCTCCACTTTATACTGATCTGGTCACTCTCCATCTAAAGTCCATGCATGCATTACAACAATGCTTCAAATAGATCACCAAGACTGTCCTCATAATTCCTCCCAGATTTTACCCCGCAGCCTGCATAAAAAAATAATCTTATAAAGGCATTGTTTCTTGAGCCTGTACTGGATGCTTCATAGCTGTGCCTCACAATACAAGTAGTGATACAAAACAGAATAAAAAGTGTCAGAAAATCAAGAGCAAAGGACTGCTGCTGGAAAACCGTTGGGTTAGAGGTCTGCCGCATTACTGCTCCAGAACAAAGCCATGCTTTGTTATCCCCTCCATGCTTCTGGTAGCATTGAATTGCCTCATGGTGTTTTCCCCCTTTTTTTACTTTCCCAATCTATTCTCCTCTCAAACCCCTATCCCTCTTTGTCTTCCTCCCATATTGCTTTTCCTATTTACCTGTTCTAGAGCTGTACCTTCTAATGGCATCCCTACTCTCTTTTTTGTTTAGGTTCTTGATTCTATGTAGCATCATGAAAAGATAAATAGTTTATGACAGACCAAAACATCGCTTACACCTCCCCCTAAAAAATACTAACATTAACAAGCCAGAAGCAGTAAAACTGACAAATCATTTTATTACCATTAAACATCATCTTAAAAGTCCAAGTGCAGCACTTCTGAAAATCAGGCTATATTGTGCCTAAACTTTAATTTGGAAACTTATGCAAGTGTGAAAATATCTATCCAAAAGACACTGCACAAACTATTCTTGAAAGATTTCTACAAGGTAACACTTGTTCCAGTATTTGAAATAGCACTCATCAGGAACCTTTCTTGAAATATCTTATAATATGGATTTATATACTGTATTTCTCTGAAAAGTTTTCCATTTCTTTCAGTGTACAAGATCTCAAAATTTTTAAGAAGCATCATACACATACAGTCTCAAGTTTGAATATCTAGCAAATACAAACCATAGCTTACATGCTAAGCTGGTGCCAGAATTTCCTCCTAATTATTTATCACAGGTTGAATACAAATATATGTTTAGGATTACTGGTTTATATTAATTTGCCATAGCAGAAGCAAGCCTCATTTTGTTTTTATTTAATATATCATTTTAAATAACCCCTGAATCTAGAACACAGGATTATGAATTCCTACAAAGCATGACTGAGCATTACAAAAAATGCTGTAAGCCCTGGAAAAAACTTCAAAAAAAACTCAGACCTATTTTGATCTTCTATTAACATGTACTAGCAGAGAGAAATAAGGGCCTTTCAAAGTACCTGTTCATATACAATAGCTTCCTTTTCATGTGCAAGTTCACCAATTTAACACCAAAAATAAACTCACCACCTTTTTCATTTATCATATCCTACCCAGGGAATAAGAAAAAGTGAACTGTTTCTCCTTCAGCATTCTACTCTAGGATCTCTAGTTTAATAACCCGTATCTCAATGCACACTCCAAAATCATACTTCAACTTCAGCATTGCAACATGATTCCCACATCAGATGAAAACATTGATTTCCAGCATGAAATGAAGAAGCAGAACTCAAAACAACTTTTTATTTGCTCTGAATATCAAACACAGTGTACATCAAAAGCTTCAACATTTTTTGTTGCAATCCAGCTTGCTGACCCTACTTAAAATTATAACAATGAAAAATAAAACCTTTTCTTTCCTTTTGGAATAGTCTGCATGTCACCACATCTTTGAGAACAAGCCTAGTCTTAAGTCTAATTTTGCAGCTCTAATGCAAGATCCTCTATTACACTCAAACCTTTGGGTGTTGTGGTAAGCAAGGTTTACTTTAAATACCATCAACACAGATAACAGGAAAGGGAAATGGATGGACCAAACCAATGCGTTCTGCGGCAATCCTAGTTCATGCAAATACAAAAAGTATCAGTATCTAAGCTGTGCTTTCACTTAAATCTGCTTAATAAGAATAAATCAGCTCACTAAAAATGTTTAAATGAAAAAGTACTCTAACAAGTAGAAACCAAATCCTAATTCCTCACATTTCATTTTTGGTGTTCTAAATTAAGTAGAGATGGCACCAAGATACTAAATCAACAAAATATTCAGATCAGGCTATTAACAAAGGTCTTCCAGAAAGTAAGTATAAACTTGACTTAGGAAACAAAGAACTGATGCTTCCTTGGCTTTGTAAATGTGTTTCAGCCCAGGGTAAGCAACCTAATGTTAAGCTCAAGACCAAAGAAAATAATTAATACAAATACTTCTGTCACATTAGATACATGAAGTCTCTTTACCAGAAAGTGCAACACTATTTTCTCTACAAAACCCCAACTCCACTTTACCCAAGCTCAGTTTTGAAGCAATTCCTGTGTCGGAAAGTGCTGGCAGAACTTGCACCAGTAATTGTCCATCCATAATACAGCTTACAAAGGAAAGTTTTACCATCACTCAATTCTTTGTTGAGAGAACAAACCATTGAACAATTTTTAAAAACTCCCAACAATCTCCCTATATACACTTGCAAAAAATGATAGTTGGAAGCAATGAATTGGGCTTTGTGTTCTTCCAGGCATCATTTCCTCAGAGGGATATCTTTAAGCTTTTGGAAATTGGCAATTTAATAAAGAAAATCATTACTCATTCTTTTAAGACACCAAAATATTTCAAAACTTACTTCCAGATGGTAGAGACTACAGGCCTTTGTTGAAATGTGTATTTATGTATTAATTTTTTTAAAAATCAGGGAAAAAAATCATATTTAAACCCAGTTTACTTCAAGTACAGGCTGAACAAGCATTTCAAGAAGTTCTTCAATCTGTTTCTTAACAGAAGTTCTGAAGAATTAAAAACTAGATCTGTGCTCATGTATAGGAATAAAGGCTTTTTCCTTCCTTTCACAAGAAAAGGTTATGTTAGTGAAATACACTGATAAACTGTGACACTAAAAATTAAAACTGGGTGATGCTACACATTATTTTTAAAGCTTAAAGACTTTTTTACAGCTTAAAAAAGAATGCATCTCCTCAGAACTAAAACTGATGATTGAAAATACTGTTACATTACTGACATATGAATCTACTTGTCACTATTAAAAATGCTTCTGTAAATGACTTCAGTAAGACTAAAAAAAATACAGAAATACTTACATTGCATTTACTTTATCTTCTGGGCCCTGAACTTGGCCTGTTACAGTTCCTTGACTGGTATTTTTAACCCAGCCAACCACTCCTAATTTCCTAGCTTCCTCTTCTGTGTACTGATTTGAAAAACAATAAAAGAGGACAATCAGCATCAGCACATAAACCACATGTACACCACCTAAAACCCTACTTTCCTTTTTAAGGCCTAACTTAAAAATCTATGGATGATGCTCATACTCAGGCATTAAGATATTCCTGTCAGCTCTGAAGTTGCAGCAGAAACAGCCAACTTTTGAACAAGAATGAGGTTTGACATACATAAATGCACAAGTTAATTCCCACTTCCATTTTTGCAGCTTTTAATACTTTTCCTCAAAAAAGTATACATAAGATGGCTCCCACCAAGATATTACACTGCTCATAAAAGTCATCTTTATTATATGTACATGCATAGAAACCTTCTGATGGTGTGAGGTTCTCCTCCCCCCCCCCCCGGGAGGCTGAAGACTTGCTCCCCTTATTTCAGGAACTTTTAGCACAGTTTTGATCACAAAGGACTACAAATCCCATTTGACTCCCTTGTACCTACTATTATTTCTTTCTATAGCTCCTATCACTGCTCATCTGCCTTTTCAACAGTGTCTGAACCCATTAAATTTGCTACATGTACAAACTTCATAGTTCCTTTTCTCTGGTTTCATCTTAAATCCTTTCCACCTGACTTTGACCCTTTAAATTCTACCCCCAACTGCTGCATTACTACTAACAAATAGCAACAAAGGTGATAATCTAATTATACTGGTTTTCTAATATTTTTTCAATATCACAACAAATTATGGTCTCCCACCTGTTTACTTCTTGTGATGAAATCAGGACCTTCCAAGTAACTTTGAGGGTTTTTTTAAACTTTCTCATTTTGTCTTTCACATACATATGAAATATATACATGGTTTTAATAATTTGTCTCTAAACACTGAAACAGTAGGGAACAGAAAGCCTGTTTTGCAGGAATCCATTATATTTTTGTTCCATGTAGGATAATAAAAACATTATTAGCCAATACACAGTACTTCATTAATAGCAAGTTTATTTACATTAAAGGTACCTCCTTTCTTTTGCTTCTTGCACATTTGATAAAGAGGTACAAGACTACATGGCCCATGTTTTTATCTTGTATTACAGAACATCAGCAGACTGATGACTTACAATAAGATCTGACAGTTTTCAATACATTTTGTTGAGAAATAGCCAAACATTTTAGAGCTCAGCTCAAAGCAAGACAGAGCAAACTTGCATCTGCCCATCACATTGTGTGGGCATACACTTTCCACTTGACAGAATAACTAAAAATTCAAGACATACTATATCATAATCCTCTACTTCAATTTTGCACTATTTCACAATACATATAAACTATGCATAAAAACTTAAGTCTAATATTAAGCATGGCCCACTTCTCAGACAAAAAATTGTTCTTATTTGAAACATGTCCTCTTGCTTCTTGGGCATCTGTGAAATGCAAAACTACCTGCTGCATGTTCAGAGCTGGTGGAGATGTTTGGCCAGGATATGAGCCACAGACTGCATGTTTGTAGCACATAGTATAAGGAAATGCAATAAGCTTTTTTTAAATACTGGTGCTATAATTGCCATTAAAAACACTAAACTGGAAGACATTGTTTGAGAAGCTAGTATCAAGATCTTCAGATTTAACCTTTCTAAAGGTTAACATGTTATAATACCCCATGGCCATTTCATCACAAGTAATCCAAATACAATCTTTAGATACTATACAAACAAGCAAGACATTAGTAAGCTTGTAAAAAATCCATTTTAATATAACAATAATAGAAAACATTTTTTCTTTTAAATCCTCTTGCAATACTTAACCATCTGACTTAGAACTCAAACCAGCAGCTGGATATATTTATACTCTACAGACCTGCTGCCATATTTTTAGCACTGGAAATACTATACTGTAAAGTAGAACTGGTAAATCAGACATTGCCTTACCATCCTGAAACAAACACCTAGAAAAGAAAGAAAAAGACATTAAAATAATTTGAAATACCACTTCTAGGAATTTCACTTAATATAAAGTTACAGTAAACTGCATCCAAGCTATCTGCGGTCTTTTCTGACAGAAGTTTCAGAGAGCAGTTAGGAAATTTTAACATTGGGCAAACTCTGCAGAATTTGGACACAAGCTGGCCTTGAGCTTTCCTTTCAGTAAACGATTATTTTCATTAACACAGCACACGTAGGTCCCTCTAGTGAGAATTCTGCAGTATGGGAATTGTCTTGGACTTAATTTTCATTCAAGTTTTGCTGCCACCGCGGGGGGGGAGGGACGACACGGGACGCTTTTCCACATAGCCGCACTGACAGAAGACACGAGCACAAACGCTGGTAACAAAGTGCTTTTGACAGCACAGCCTGTGCTCTCCAGGGAACCGGGCGGGCCGTACCATGGAGGCACATTTACAACCTTTTATTTCCCCCCCCACCTTTCCGCTAAGGACCAGGCGACAGCAGCCCC